GATCTCTGAATTCGTAAAGTTTTTCTTTTTTTAACTTTGCGATGTCATTTATGAATGGACACTTCCTGGTATGTGGGGCAGGAAACGTAGCCTTATCTGGTGTTTTTGGGGTGGGAGATTATGCCAATCACCTCTCCCCGTACACAACCACCTGATACACATTCATCAGTTTACGCAGCTCATTTACACACTTTTCCTGAAGATAGAAGAGTTTGTTGAATCTGACGTGACATGTTCATACGAACCCTTCGTACGAACAAAAGTAAGAGAAATTTAGGATAAGAATACGAACATGTTCTTGCATGAGGCCCAATGATCTTAACAGTACAAGTCAGTGTGAGGCTGACCAGGATCTGTCCAACAGGCCCGTCCATCACAGCTCAGACTCAGTTATAATTTCTCCTGAGAAGAGCAGAAACACCGTCTGTACTGTAAATAAGTTCCCTTTCAGTCAATTCACTCGGTAAAACACATCATGTATGGGAAACCACGCCCCTGCGTGTCCTGGCTGAAGCCACCTCTAATCATGCCTTTAGGCAGGTGACATGATGACGACAGATGTCAGGCTCCGCCTGCACATATATATACTGTCACCATCACAGTCACTCCTTAGTTCTATTGCTCTTCACCTCGCTAGAACACCCATCTCTTCCAACCTAGCTAGTTGTTGGTGTCAGCTGCAGCTGCCTACTGGTAACTGTGTCTGCCCGCGGAGCGCTAACTTTGAGAAACCTTTCTAAACCTCGACGAAAGAGAGAATTTTGTAGTTCGGGATGAGCACAAAATTACTCAAGAAGAAGCAGAAATCTGTTTGGGGATCATCCACGCTCGTAGGGCGTTGGCGGAGCCCGAAGCATGTGCGTTTTGCCGCCTTCTTCGACACTCAACCCTGGAGAGACAGGTTAAATTCTTGGAGAAAGTGCTGGGCGAGGCTGCAGTCGCGCGGCAGGACCCTCTCCTCTCCGAGTCTAGTAACCCGGTTCCGTCCGAGTGTGACGAGGAAGAGCCCTCGGTCGAAGTCTCAGCTTCCAGCTGGGCAGACCAAGTGGAATATATGGAGTGGTTAGCCGACGAAGAGGAGGAGGCCTCCCAGTTTCATCTGGACCTCCACCACAGAGGGGAGGACGTGCTGGATATTGGCCTGGATGTGCATGGTCTGTCTGAAGACGACGATGAACCCGGTCCGAGTACAGAAGCCCCTGCTGCTGTGGGTGCAAACCAGGAGGACACGTCTTTTCTCTCTTTGTGTTGTCGCGCGGCTCAGAAACTGGAGGTGGATTGGCCTGCTCCCCCTCCTGCACAAAAACCGTTGCGTTTCGCTGGATTTTTTCTCCCCACTGAACCGACTGCGGTGAAAAACCATCTTCCCATGTTCCCAGACTTTGTCTCGGAGCTGACGTCCTGCTGGACCAAACCTCTGTCCACCCGCGTCACAGTGCCCGGTTATGGACCGTATTTGGATTTGGAAGGAGCTGAAAATGCTGGACTAGTGAACATACCTCCCATGGAGCCGTCCCTGGCAGCGTATTTGGCCCCGTCTCACAACCATGGTGTGAGCAGACCCACCACGCTCCCTTCCAAGCCCTGTAGATTTTCTGCTTCGCAGCTTGAAAAAATCCACAAGGCTCAGGCCACTACTGCTCGCAGCCTGAGCTCCATCAGCATGCTCCAGACTTACCAGGCTATGGCTCTGGTCGAGCTCGGAGTTCAGGTACCGGCCGAGAGTCTTCTGCTGCCTCTCTTAAATGAAATCAGACTCACTGCGGACTACGTCCTCAGTGCGTCCCGCGGTGCAGCGCTCTCCCTGGGCAGAGGGATGGCTTCAACTGTGGTGGCGCAGAGGCATCTGTGGTTGACGCTCTCTGATGTCCCCGACAGAGACCGGGCCACATACCTGGATGAACCAGTTATGGTGCCTGGGTTATTCGGTCAGTCTCTAGACATCATTCAGGCAAAGTTTGAGCTGAGGAAGAAGCAGGCAGAAGCTCTGCTCTGCATTATCCCCAGACGGGACTCGAGACCCAAGACCAGCACACAGAAGCCGGCCGCACAGCTGTCTCCGGCGAAGAGAACGGTGCTGCCTGGGAGCCTAGGCACCGCAGCCTCATAACCACGGCCAACCCCCCCGCCAGTCGGCTTGGAGCAAGGGCCCCCCTCCGGGTCTTCAGAAAGGCGTGACACCTCGGAGGAAGAAGACGCAGTCCTCCTAACTGTGGGACTATCACTGCAGGGACTTCGGGACCAGGGAGACATGTTCGCCAGTTTTCGGCTGCCGCCCAAGAGGCATTTTGTTTGTAATGTTCAAGAAACCAGCCCCAAGAGGCGCTGCGTTTCTATAACACAGTCTCCCAAGCACCAGTCCCACCCCACACATACACTGTTTGTACCAAAAGCCCCCAGTTTGGGTGCGCTAAATGTTCAAAATGTAAACGTACAAAATGGTTGTGTAAACTTGTTGAATGTGTCAATAAAGGAAACACTTCACACACAAAAAAAAATCAGAAAAGTTGTGAGCGACAGTCATATAATGCTGCGCCTCTCTCATGTGACAGAGGGCAGCAGGACTTCGCTAACACAAGTCGGTCGCCTAGCGACGCAACTCTCTCTCTGGCGCGTATGCGCACCATCCCCTTGGGTAGAGAGAACTGGCCCACACACACTTCCGCATACGGCCTCCCCGTTTCAACACCGTGGTAAACACTGTTGTTAGAAACAAAACAGCCGTGGTTTTGAGGGAGGAAATAAACACGCTACTGGCGAAAGGAACCATATGTGTGGTCCCCTCTTCGGACATAAACAAAGGTTGGTACAGCCGTTATTTTGTCGTTCTGAAAAAAGACGGCGGCCTCCATCCGATTTTAGATCTGAGGGTGTTAAACAAGTTTCTACGAACATACAGGTTCAAAATGCTAACACTCAGGCAGCTTCTGAATTCAAGCGGCCCGGGCGACTGGTTTGCGACCATCGATTTAACAGACACTTACTTCCATGTAGCGATTCACCCAGACCACAGGAAATTTCTGAGGTTTGCGTTCGAAGGCGTAGCCTACGAATACCTGGTGCTGCCATTCGGTCTGTCGCTGGCGCCCTGCACCTTTTCAAAATGTGTCGAAGTGGCGCTTTCTCCTCTCAGGGAGATAGGAGTTCGCCTGTTAGCATACCTAGACGACTGGGCTCTGATAGCCAGCTCCAAGGAGCAGGCTACAGAGCATCTGTCTCAGGTTCTGTCGCACGTTCAGGCTCTGCATTTTTCTGTAAATTTTCAGAAAAGCTTATTGACTCCGAGTCAACAGTTTTCTTTCCTTGGATTGGAAATACAGTATGTTCCCTGTCGGGCAGAGCGCATCTCTCAGAAAACAGAGTAGCTGCGTTTCACCGCTGCCTCGCTCAGTTTCAACTGGAACACAAACTGCGTTTTCAGACCATTCTGCAACTGTTGGGCATGATGGCTTCTATGATCGCAGTAGTACCACTCAGCCTGCTAAAAAATGCGCCAGTTTCAGCGCTGGTCCCGCTCTCACCGGCTGTGTGCATTACGTCACCGCCACAGAAAGCTAACGATAACTGCCTCATGCATGAAGGCTCTCAGTCCTTGGGGGGAACCTGGCCTGCTATGCCGAGGCTCACTGATAGGAAGAGTGTCATTTTGCAAGGTGGTATCCACAGACGCCTCCCTGGTGGGGTGGGGGGCTCTGTGCGATGGTGCAGCAGTGAGGGGGGTCTGGACTCTGAAGCAGTCCAGACTCCACATAAACTGCCTGGAATTGTTAGCGGTTCTGTTAGAACTGAAACAATTTTGTCCAGTTCTGCAGAACCAACATGTTCTGATCAGAACAGACAACACGACCGTAGTGTCATATATAAACAGACRGGGGGGAACACGGTCTCTTCCCCTGTTGGAACTGTCTCACACTCTCTTGCAGTGGTGCAGCGTGCATTTCCTGTCTATCAGGGCCACTCACGTTCCTGGGAGGCTGAATCTGGGCCCAGATCTACTCTCCAGGGGCGGACCTATGGTGAGGGAGTTGCGGTTGCTTCCTTCAGTGGTGGACCAGATTTGGAACCTGTTTAGCAGGACAGCAGTGGATCTCTTTGCCACARGGACCAACACCCACTGCCCTCTGTTCTTTTCCATAACGGATCAGAACGCCCCACTGGGGGTGGACGCTCTAGCCCACCCGTGGCCCAACGTACTGCTGTATGCATTTCCCCCAGTGGAGATGATACTGCCTGTACTAGAGAGGGTACGCAGACAGGGTCTGTCTCTGATTCTGGTGGCGCCCCATTGGCCAGCAAAGTCTTGGTACCCTGAGATAATCAGCCTGCTGGCTGCTCAGCCCTGGTAACTTCCCCTTCTCCAAGATCTCCTCTCTCAGGCGGGGGGGGGAGATATTTCACCCACACCCAG